TATTTATATGTATACATACATATATATATATATATATATATATATATCTGATATGACTCCCAGCACAAAGAAGATTTTCTGGCTATCTGTGATATTGGGTTGTCAGAAAAGTCATGACACATTTTTGCATAGAAAACTATATCATGACTTTTCCGAAGACTCAATATTTTATATATGGTGTTACTTGACAGGCAGTGCTTGGCACAGAGCTGTCTCCCCATAAATGTTAACTAGTGATTAATTCAGCAGCACACATACCAAGTGAAATAATACAGAGATTAGGTTGGCCCATGCACAAATTTGACTCACAGATTGATGAATCAATCCATATTTTTTTGAGTTAGGAGGAAAAAGTTCAGGTGATCTGTTGTACAACATGGTGACTATAGTTAATAACAACATGCGCTATTTTTGAAAAGTGCTGAGAGTCGTTTTTTTTTTTTTTTGGAAAGGTTTTCGCTATAGGGCGCATGCGCTCGCCAGACAGACAGAGAGAGACATAGAGACAGAAAGCGAGAAATCACCCCCCAGGGAGGATGGTCATGCCGCAATCCCTTCTCCTTCATTCTCCTCTTGGGATCTTGGGCATGTATGCACACGCGCCCGGCGTGAGTTTTAAGCCACCGGGTCTGGGACGCGAACCACGGTCGACTACGTGGGAGTCCAGCAACATAGCCATTACGCTAACTGCTGGTTCCCAATTTTTTTTTTTTTTGCCATGAATTTGCTGGAGAGAATCAGAGTGAGGGAACGTGAGAAATTACCCCCTCGGGGGATGGCCACACTACAATCCCTTCTCCTCCATTCTCCTCTCAGGATTTTGGGCACACATGCGCATGTGCCCAATGTGATTTTTCAGTCATTGGGTCCAGGACTCAAACCATGATTGGCCATGTGGAAGTCTAGCACTTTAACCACCATACCACCTGCTGGCCCCAAAGGGAGAGTAGATTTTAAATGTTCTCACCACACACACACACACACACACACACACACACACACACACAGAGATAAGTACATGAAGTAGTAAGATGTTAATTAGCTTGATTTAGGCATTCCATGATGTATACATATATCAAACATTATGTCGTACTCCATAAATTATATAACTTTTTTATCAATTAAAAATGTTTACATGGGACCAGCAGTTGGCATAATGGCTATGTCACTGGACTCCCATGTAGTCGACCGCAGTTCAAGTTCTGGACCCGGTGGCTTAAACTCATGCCAGGCGCGTGTGCGTTTGTGCCCAAGATCCCAAGAGGAGAGTAGAGGAGAAGGGATCACGGTGTGGCTATCCCCCCTGGTGGGGGTAATTTCTAGCTTTCTGTCTCTCTGTCTCTTTTTGTCTTTCTGGCGAGCGCATATGCCCTATAGGGAAAACCTCTCCCCCCCAAAAATGTTTATGCCGTTAAAAGGAATAAAATAAATTTTAACTATTATTGGGATTTGCACATGATGCACACGTATATTACACATTGAGAAAAACTAGAGGATACTGTTCATTTAACCCGAAGTCATCTTTTTCTGACCACAGCAGGCAACACTGATTCTCTTTTGATAGCTTGCAGAACTTGTTATTTTCCAACTCAGTCAGCACTTAGTGCTTGATTCATTCCTGTACTGTGACTAACTTGGCATAGAAATCTGTCTTGTCCAGCAACTAAGTGATGTCAAATATTGGAAGGGACATCTTGTCAGGGGAAAGTGAGGTCCCTGCTATTCGAAATAATCAGGCATCGAGGGCACACTCTGGGTAGTGCTGAAGGGAATCTACCTTTTTTTTTTTTTTTTGAGAGTTTTTTTTTCGCTATAGGGCGCGTGGGCTCACCAGACAGACAGAGAGAGACATAGAGACAGAAAGCAAGAAATCACCCCCCAGAGGGGATGGTCACGCCGCAATCCCTTCTCCTCCATTCTCCTCTTGGGATCTTGGGCACGCACGCACATGCACCCGGCGTGAGTTTCAAGCCACCGGGTCCAGGACGCAAACCGCAGTCGACTACGTGGGAGTCCAGCAACATAGCCATTATGCCAACTGCTGGTTCCCAAGGGAATCTACCTTTGAGCATCTGAAATCAGTAGTCTTAAATCTGAGCTTGGAGATTTAATGAGCTTTTCTTTTGAATTTGTAAAACCAGGCCACTTCAATGTTTTTGTACAATTTAATAAATAATCTTTTGATGAGACCAGCAGATGGTGTAATGGTTACGTTGCTGGACTCCCACGTGGGTGACTGCGGTTTGAGTCCCGGACCCACAGGCATGAAACTCACAGCTGGCGTGTGTGCATACATGCCCAAAATCCCAAGAGGAGAATGGAGTTGAAGGGATTGCAGCATGGCCACCATCTGGGGGATGATTTCTTGTTTTCTGACTGTCTCTCTCTCTCTCTGTGTGTTGAGCTCATGTGCCCTATAGCAAAAATCTCTCTCTAAAAAAAATAAATCTTTAACTGCAGGCATGTAAGACAATAGTATTCAGAAACATCACAGTCATGGTGGGTTTCCAGATTGTTGTATCTTCTTCAAAAAAAACAAGGAGTTACTTGTATGAAACTGCTATCAAATCAGTAAGACAGCATTTATGCATCCGTTGTTTTCAGGATTGTTGGTAACTTGAGCATATTTTCCCACATAACCTTGCCTCCTTGTGTCACAAGGCCCAACTCACTTATGTTCACCTCAATGACAGAACCTTTGGTGATAACAACCAAAGTTGAATATACTCAGGATGAAAGATTCTCTTTACTCCAAGTATTGGCAGGCAAAAGGTGGGTTGGGGTTCAGGATGTGTTTTGTGGGCCTTCTTGAAATGTAAGCCAATTGGCCTAGTGAATCTTTCATATTTACGTGGTTTTCTAGTAAATACATCTCCAACAGAGCAAACTTAGGCAACCATTCTCTTCCGTTCTCCTTTGTTTTTCCTGTTCAAATCACTTTTAATACTTACGTTTCTCCCTGGGATCGAACTTTGGAATAGAGGGGCTTCCCATTTTCTCGCTTTCTCTTTTCATTTTTGTTTAATCATATTGGAAAGTACTTTAGCTTGAGCTGTCCTCTGTACAACAGATAGGCAGGCACTGCTCCTTGTGGAGTCTTTTCATCATTCTTTTGTTTGGTGTTCCTCTTTTCATGCATCTTGATAGTCTTTTTCATTTGTATTTTCTCAGTGTGGCATTTCTTATAATAGAACTTAGTCTTCAAACCAATTATCCTTTTTGCCTTCTTTGAACGTTCATGAGCCTCTCAACTTTCCTTCTCTTTTTCTCATGGTTATTCAAATGGTATCTGTAGTGATTATGATGTAATTTAATGTTCGTTTTGTGGCATGGTGATCACTGCAGAATCGCCAGGCACAGACCCCCGGGTACAAAGTTGTCAAGTTTCAGTTTCAGAGACCCATGAGCAGACCTAGCGCTGTCCAGCAGTCCAGAACGGGAAAGTTGATAAGCATTTCAATAAGAATGCAGTAAGTCTCCCCCCTGGGGCCCTGCTAAGCCGGCGGCGGCAGGAGGCGGGCGGGC